AAAAAATAAAACCATAAACAAACCTATAACAATCAAGTAGGATGAAACATAATCAAAACTCTCCCAAAAATCAAAAGTCTAGGACCAGATGGCTTCAGAAGCAAGTTCTACCAAACTTTCATAGATGAACTAATTCCTATCATGCAAGACTCAAAAAAAAAAAAGGAATATCCCTCCAACAAAATTTATGAAGACAGTGTTATATTAATTCCAAAAAAAAAAAAAAAAATCATGAAGAAAACTACAGACCAATCTCCCTAATAAATACACACATAAAAATCCTCAATAAAATCTTAGCAAAAAAATCCAACGGGGCCACAGCAGTTGAGCGCTGGGTTGCAAAGCTGCCCGCAGCCTCTGCAGAGCCGGTTCGATCCCCGGCTGCTCCCCGGCCACCAGAGGAGGGTCCCGCATGGTACACAGACCTCTCCTGCCACCCGCTGCTCCCCTCAGCGGTGTACTTCGGTCATTCTGCCTGCTCTGCTCCCCGCTCTGTCTAGTGAACCCTCTCACCCCCTGCACCTCTGGCATGTACACAAGATCTTGTGTGCATAAATAAATAAATCTTAAAAAAAAAAAAAAAAGTCCACACACCACTACTATTCAACGTAGTATTAAATTTTCCTAGCTACTGTAATCAGGCAAGATAAAACTACAAAAGGAATCCAAATGGGAAACTAGTAGTAAAGCTATTTTTATTTGCAGATAATACAGAGGGGACAAAAAAGACTGCACAGCAAAAACAATCAAAATAATAAACCAGTTCAGTAAGTGGCAATAAAATCAACACACAAAAAATCCAGTTGCATTCTTATAGTCAACAATGAGCCAAAAAAAAAGAAGAAATTAAGAAAGGCATCCCATTTTTGATCTCATATACAAAAAATTAGGGAACTGTTAATAAACGTAACAAAGGAGGTAAAGGGGCCTCCCTGGTGGCACAAGGGCTTAAACACAGCACTGTGAAGTTGCCTGCACCCTCTGCAGCACAAGTTCAATCCTGGGCTGGCCAGGGAGCAACCCACATGGCGAGGCAGACCTCTCCTGTCTCGCCCACAGTTCCCCTCAGCAGTGTATCTCAGTCAGTCTGTATGTTTTGTTTCCCACTCTGTCTCTGGTGAATCCTCTCACCCCCATATCTCTGGCCTGTACCCCAGTTCTTGTACGCATAAATAAAAAATTTTTTAAAAAAAGAGGGGTGGAGGTAAAGGACCTATACAAGGAAAACTACAAACACTGTTAAAGGAAACAGAAGACACAAAGAAATGGAAATAGGGAGAATCCCCACTGTCAAAATTGCCACCCTATCCACAGCAACTTATAGCTTCAATGCAATCCCAATAAAAATCCCAACAGCATTCCTCAAACAGCATGGCATTGGAACAAAAAAGCCATGAAGGCCAACAGAACAGATATGAGTATTGGAGACCCCTAAGGCATAAAGTGCTGAGACAAGGAAATATCAGAGTTGTGGTTGGAAGACTGGTCTTGGCTAAAAGTCTGATTAACAGGGGTCAGAGACTGGCACAGAGGATTGGCCGATTACAAATCAGGATATTCTTTCTTGTGTCTGCGAAAATTTTTAGAGGACAGACTAGATTAGAAAAGACACAGAATAACCTAATAGCACAGAACCTTGGTGGTGTATCTGTGCCCGACAAGGCCAAACCCTAAGAGAATGCTTCACTGTCTAGTAACTAACCAGGGAGGGCAGGGAGCATTTGTAGCCATAAAAATGAGTGGCACTGGGCACTCAGGATGCTTGAGCACAGAATGACAGGCCTTACGTTCCCTGGGTCCCGCTTCCCTTAAACTCTATTCTGTGTCTGCTATTAATTTCCTCGGTTCAGTGGGATTCCTCTCTGGACTCCAGCAACTGAGGCCACTGAAATAAAAACCATACATATATGTACACTCAATCTACAGCAGAGTGAATAATATACTCCAGAACAAGGAAAGTTTCCTCAATAAATGGTGTTGGAAAAACAAGACTGCTACATGCAAAAGAAAAACAGTTGAAAATCAACTCCAAATGGACAAAAGATTAGGATGTAAGATATGACACCATGACACCATAAAATATATAGAAAAAAAAATCAGAAAAAACATTCCATGATAAACTTTAGAAACAACTTTGAGACCTTATCTCTACCAACAAGGAAAACAAATAACTAGGATTACATCATACTAAAAAGTTTCTGTATACCAAAAGAGACAGTAATTAAAATGAAGACACAAATACTGAATGGGAGAAAATATTTGCACACCGTATATATCTGCAAATGGGAGTGATATCAAAGATCTACAAAGAACTTATACAACTCAACAAACACAAAACAAACCAATCAAAACTGGGCAGAAGATGAAAAAAATGTTCATGATTACTTATCATCAGCGAAATACAGATCAAAAACCCAATGAGCTGTCACCTCAGGTCAATGAGAATGGATTATATTTAAAAAACCAGAAACAAGTGCTGGTCAAAGTGTGAAGGAAAAGCAATCCTTTCGGTGGCAATGGAGACTGATCCACACCCAGTGGAAGCTGTGTAGAAGTTCTTCAAAACACTGAAAATGGATGTGCTTTTTTTAGCACCAAACAATATCACTCCTAAATGTCTAGCCAATAAAAAACAAAAACCTGCATGCCTGTGTTTACCGCAACACTATTTATACTGGCCAAGATATGGAGACAATTTAAATGCCCCAAAATAAAGAGCTTAAGAAAATGTGGTAAATATACAATGGAATACAACTCATATACAAAAAAGGATTAAAAAAGGACAAACATGCCATCTGTGGCAACAAGGATAGAGCTGAAAGGGATTGTGCTAAGGGAAGTGTCAGAAGGAGAAAGATAAATATGGTTTAACTTATATGCGGAATATTTAGAAACCAAACATAAACCTTGACAGTGGACCATAGATCTGAGGCATCCAGGAGAGGAAATGGAGAGCCAATGGATGATTGTTGGCTCTCTTGAGGCTGGTGTTCTGAATTAATTCTAAGACATATATTGTGATGTAAATCAACATTACCTCAATTAATAAAACTTTACACAAAAAAAAAGGAGGGGGGAAGAATGTTCAGATTAATAGGATGTCCTACATTCAGAGGATATAGCTATATCAACTATATATCAAGAACTATATCAAGAAAATATGGAAATTCAATTGGGGGTGGGAAGGTACAAAAAATTAATTCTTTTTTTTTTTTTTAATGGCTTCCATGATTGTTATTCCATCAGCTGGATTTAGGAGTCAGCCACTTAAATGATCTCAAACTATCTTATTATACTCATTTATAATGGAAAATGGAAGATGATAGCATCTTTCCTCTCATTTAATTTTGGAAACCATCTAGACCCATGCACTAATTTTATACTTTGGTGAAAACGCAGCAGACACCACAGAAATATCCTGGCTATTATAATAATGCTGCAATAAACATAGGAGCAGGTTTCCTTTCCAATCAGTGTGGTGGTTTTGTTTCTATAGGCTAGACACCTGGGAGTGGAATAGCTGGGTGCTAAAAACAGCACACCGATTAAAGCAAAATATTCTAGAACTGAACTAAATAGTAATAAAACCCTATGTCATGGTATGGTAGTAAATGTGAGTATACTGTACATTACAAATGATGTTTAAAAGATAATTTGGGGGGCCTCCCCGGTGGCGCAGCGGTTGAGCGCTGGGTTGCGAAGCTGCCCGCGGCCTCTGCGGCACCAGTTCGATCCCCGGCTGCTCCCCGGCCACCGGAGGAGGGTCCCACATGGCGCGCAGACCTCTCCTGCCGCCCGCTGCTCCCCTCAGCAGTGTACTTCGTCATTCTGCCTGCTCTGCTTCCCGCTCTGGCTCTGGTGAATTCTCTCACCCTCCCGTGCTTGTACCCAGTGCATGTATAAAGAAAACAAGCAAACAAACAAACAAACAAATAAATAAAACATGCCTCTATTAAAAAAAAAAAAAAAAAAAGATAATTTGGGCCTCCCCAGTGGCGCAGCAGGTTGAGCACAAGCGCTGTGAAGCTGTCCAAAGCCTCTGTAGCACGGGTTCAATTCAGGGAAAAGCCCACAAGGCAAGGCAGTACTCTCTTGCCTCGCCTGCTGCTACCCTCAGCAGTGTATTTCCATCCCTCTGCCTTTTCTGCTCCCCAGGCTCTGTCTCTGAATCCTCTTACCCTCCCAGTTCTTACATAAAAATTAATAAATCTTAAAAAAATAATAAAATAGGGCCTCCCCTGTGGCGCAGCAGTTGAGCGCTGGCTTGCGAGGCTGCCCGCAGCCTCTGCAGCACCAGTTCGATCCCCGGCTGCTCCCCGGCCATCGGAGGAGGGTCCCACATGGCGCGCAGACCTCTCCTGCCGCCCGCTGCTCCTCTCAGCAGTGTACTTCGGTCCTTCTGCCTGCTCTGCTCCCCACTCTGGCTCTGGTGAATTCTCTCACCCTCCCACACTTCTGACTGTATCCAGTGCTTGTATAAATAAATAAAAATAAATCTTTAAAAAAAATAAAAAAATAAATCTTTTAAAAAAATAATAATAATAAAATAAAAGAATTCAACATTAGAACAAAAATGAAATAGAATAAGACAACACATTATACACAACTAAAAAATTTTGAAAAGAATTCTTGATATTAATATGATTACTGAAAAACACTTTTAGTCATTTTATAGGATGCAGATGATTCAAATTTAGAAGTAAATTATATTAAATGGTCTAGATGGTTTCCTTCCACCATACAATAAGCAATATTTTGGGACTATATTAAACTGACGGTAGATACCAAATGATACACATTTTAAATACACACCTCAAATTTATGAACTTCAAACATATACTATGACTGTAATATTAAACATATGCAAGAGTTAATACTTAAATTCAATTTAAGTAACTGAGATTTAAAACCTAAAATTTTCTTATTTATTTCACTTATTGGATGGACAGAATTTTGTTATTTATTAGCTTCTATTTAAGAAAAGTAACTTAAAAACTTACCTGGGTTTCATACAAGTGGGCAATATGAAATTTAACTACAAAGATCAGGGAAAGATTTAATTATTATGCAGTTGACATTAAGGTAATAAAAGTATAGATAACAAAATATAAACGTAAGCAAGTGATAAAATATAGATCACAGACTTGCTTTAGTACACTTTTGTTTTAATAAAACAATATACAAGTAAATCTACTAAAGATGAAATCTTAAGGAAACATATCTATTACATAAAATTTAACATTTATTTTTATCCTGAAAAGCAATATATTTAAAACATTAAAAAACATCAGCTAGAGGACCTCCCTGGTGGCGCAGGGGTTAAAGACAGCACTATGAAGCTTATACCAGCCACTGCAGCAAGAGTTTGATCTCCGACAGGCCAGGGAGCTACCCACATGGAACAGCAGACCCCTTCTGCCCGCTGCTCCCCTCAGCATGGTATTTCAATAGATCCGCCTGTTTTGCTCCATACTCTCTCTGGTGAATCCTCTCACCCCTAGCATCTCTGGTTTACATCCCAGTTCTTGTATGCATAAATAAATAAATCTTTTTTTTTTTTTTTAAAAAAAGGCAAATCAACAACTAGTAAATACAGAAAAGTTAAAATTGCAAGGTAAATGCAATCTCTTCAGATGTAGATCCTGATAAGATATTCAAAAACCTTAAAACAACTTCAAAAAACTTAAAACCTTAAAAACAGTTGTTATTTATTTTTTTAATTTTACATAAGTTTTTATGTTACAACAAATCTTGTAGAAGCAACATTTCCCAAAAATCATAGGTCAGTATACCTACAGTAAAATCACCGAACGTCTTTCAATTTTTCAGAATTGAGTTTCTTCATAAACAAAAAAACCCCTCAAAATTTCCAAAAGAAAACAAATTTGTCAAGTACATGTATCTAAACAATCATGGAACAACAGCAAGTTTTGATTCCTTTTCTGATGTTCTTCCTAACAACTACTTCCAATATCTAAGGTATGAATGATTAAACAAAAACAGGATCAACAAAACCAAAATCACAGTATATACAATTAAAAAATTTCAGTTACTTAATTTTATGATTTTTGTCAATAACAAGTCTCTTTTCTCCTTTTTTTTTTTTTTTTTTTTTAGGTTCTAGTGGTAAGAATCTTTGAAAATTATATATAGGACATTTATGTATATTTATGACATTTCTCAAGGTTCAAAACTACCATGAAATGCTTATTAGTATAATAATGTCTATTTTTCTCTCCTTTATTTTCCCTCCCAACCCACCCTTTCTCATTCCCTCTTTACAATAAAAATGTTAAAACAATAAAAGCTAAACCTAGGAAGAATAAAAAAAAATTAGCCATTATTGTGAAGTCCTGGTAAGTTTTCTTTCAAAAATAATCACACACTTGTAATATCTCTTTATCCAGACTGTTGAACAGCGTACTAGGTATATATAAATTCTCCCCATAGAGGGAAAACACATCCCAAATTTCTGTAATTAACTCTAAAATCAAGTGCTCCCCACTCTGTCTCTGGTGAATCCTCTCACTCCCCTCACCTTGGGACTATACCCCAGTTCTTGTATGCATAAATAAATAAATCTTTAGGAGGAAAGAAAAGACAATGTGAAAACCTCCATATTTCATTTTAAAATATATAGCTGACCACTGAAAGAAACATGAAATTGAAATGTGGCAGAATTTAATTATACATGGATTCTCTTATAAATTGATAAAAACTTATATACTGTAACACTACCTTATGTAATACCTAAAATATACATAATGTGTTAATTAGCAACATGCTCATGTAATTTTTAAGTGTTCTCACTGTTAGGGGGAAAAGGATGTCCTAAAGCTAATTTCATACAGGCTTTGTGGACGCCACCCCCACCCAAGGCCAAAGCCAAAGACACTGGGAACTCCAAATCCCATTACCACCAAAGGGAAGGTGGCTGGGACCTGAGGGTGGGGTTAAGCAGCCAGGTTGGTATAAAGCCAGACATGTGGGCTTTGGAGGGGCCCCCCATTTTTGGCTCTCCGCCAGCTCGCAGCATCCAGCCAGCTTTGAGAGTGCCTTTGGGTTTCCAGGTCGGCGGATTGAGTAGACTTTATTTCCCTATTTTCTCCCTGAGTTGCACATTTTCCTTCTTTCCTTTTCCCTTGTAAATAAACCTTTTATTAACCTTCTGTGTGTGCCTGTAGTGTAGTATTAATAAGTCCCTTTTAAGCGCGCGGGTGAGGACCCAAGCCAGGCAACCCATTCAATATTGGGGCTGCCCTATAACAGCTTGGTGCCCAACGTGGTTTCCAAGCTTCACCCGTGGTTGACCAGCCCAAAGTAATTTTTCTTGCGTTGGTCACCATAAAGTGCACTAGGTCTGCAGGACTCACAGTGAAAATCTTTGTTTCATGTCTTGAAAAGTCTGGTCCGCCCCCCCACCCCCACCCGGCGCATACGGCTCTTGTGGGTATGGTTTTGACCCAAATGTGGCCTCAACCACGAACTTCACCAGTTTTATCCTTAACTTGAGTTCTTTCAGTTTTTTTCACATATTTCATTATACATAAATTTCAATTACACAAATATTATTTTTGGAGTATTCTAATAAATACTATTAAAATAGTATTTATACTATAATCATATAACCATACAAGGTTTCATAATACCTAATTCTTTCAAAAATAATTGTATACAAACATTCTATAGACCCAAAACAGCATGTTTTCTTAAGTAGTTATTTGCATTTTACTCAAAAATAAAAACACATTTGTCATTCACCTTCTTTTACATTTTACACTATTTCTAATAGTACAAGTATTTCTAATCTACCCAATTTCACACACTCAGGAAGAGTTTCAGGCAAGTTCTGTGGAATAAAAAAAATCCTCAAAGGCATTAAACATAGGGAGAGATAATTTTTCCACTAATTATAACTTGCTTATGTTAGTGCATTATGAGTAACCCAAACATATCATTGTCTACAAATCAACTGTCTTAAGGTCTCTGAATCAAGTTCAGGCTACCCATTTTTATTCTTAATAACCACAAAAACAAAGATGTAATAGATTTAAAAAGGTATTCATGGCCATGGTTTAAAATGTCCTACAATGTCCTATACGAACTTTATTTCTCCAATAGGCAGGGGGGAAAAGCCTCCTATATTGAAAAATACTTACTTTCAACATTGGATAAAGTACAGGGATTACAGTCAACCAGAGCTAACTGGAAATGCTGCAAGAAAGAAGTAAAAACAGTAATGAACAAAATTAGAGATACAGAAAATCAATTTTTATATTTCAGATTTTATAATCTAGCATGAAAATTAAACCATGTTACAGCAACAAAACAATTAAAATTACTATCATTTAATAGCTATCATTTGGAAAGTGAAGTGTTATGAGATTATTTCCACAAGAGAGTTAAGAAAGGATGTAGGGGAAAACTAGTTTTATTTACTTACCCTATGTCCATTTTCAGTAGGTAAAAAAATTAGTATTTTACTATCCAGGAAATAATAAATAATAAAGATACTTAATGACAACTGTTTCAATTTTTTAAATAAAATTCTGAAAAATTCAATGGTCTCTTAGTACATCAATACTTAAAGGAGATCGAACTTTAGAAATAAACTTACTGTGAGAATTATCTTGACAAATAAACATATTGGCTTCTACTGGTTCTTCAGTATCACTATGTCAAAGTATTAAAATCTATAGTTCTATGCACATAGACATATTAAAACAATCCCTGTTCAAATACATCTGAGAAACACACTTGTCCTTTAAAAGAAAGGCAAATTGTGTATAAAATATGTAAAATGATACATGAATTACTTAAAAACTTATAGCTCTACTTCTATACCAAATTAAGTCTACCAGTATGTAAATATATTTTGTAAATATATATACAGATACATATGGTAGTTATACATCCACAATACATATAAATTAATATTAGATATAAAAAAGCTATCACTAGTGATCAGTTGCCAATATTTATATAACATTATAATGAAAATGTGTTTCTCTATAGATAATTATTTAATAAAACATGATTACTGCAGAAATGCAATAACATCTGATATTTATTTATTTTTATTTTTTTATTTATACAAGAGCTGAGGTACAGGTTGGAGGCGCGGGAGGGTGAGAGGATTCACCAGAGACAGAGTGGGAGCAGATGACAGAAATATACTGTTAAGGAGAGCAGCCAGTAAGGCAGGAGAGGTCTGCCACAGCATGTGGGAATCTCTCCCTGGCCGGTAGGAAATTGAATCCATGCTGCAGAGGTTGTGGACAGCTTCACAGGTCTGTGCTCAATCCACTTAGCCATAAGGAAGGCCCAGCATCTGATATTTATAACTGATCAATATAACCTCATTTACATAAATAAACTGTAGACAATGGAAACTTCAAATTTTTCAAATAAGAAACAACCATTCTATAAACTATTCCCACAAAAGTATATTAAGTGTTCAGAAACTCCAGTAATTGTTCATCAATTAAAATCATGATTTTTTTTTTTTAGATTTTTTTTTTTTTTTTTTTTTAAATACAAGAGCTGGGTTACAGGCCAGAGGCGCGGGAGGGTGAGAGGATTCACCAGAGACAGAGCAGGGAGCAGAAAGGGCAGGCGGACCGAAATACACTGCTGAGGGGAGCAGCGGACACTACAGAAGAGGTCTGCTATGCCATGTGGGACTCTCCCCGGAATGGCCAGGATTCAAACTGGTGCTGCAGAGTCTGAGGACACCTTCACAGCACCGTGCTCAACCCACTCCGCCACCAGGGAGGCCCTGAAAACAATTTTTAAAATGTAATGTGAACACTGCTCAAGGTGGGAGTGATCATGCTCAGTAAAATAAATCTGAAAGAAAGGAAAATATCAGATGATATCACTTATAGGAAAAGAGGGAAACTAAAGGTCCCCCAAAAAGGGGGAGGGGGGAAAACTTGCAAGCAACTATAGCCCTGAAAAAAACTAGAAAGGAGACCTAACAAAACTAAAACCTGACTCATGGAAGGAGGTGGGGGTAGAGGGGATTAAAGTGACCATTAACCTAGCTATATAGAAATCAAGATACTTAGTTAGGTACCAATGCCCATATTACAAAGCATAAGATCCAAGCAGGTATCACTGCTGTAGGGGGTGTCTAGAGCACAGACCCAAGGGTAAAGAGATGGAGATTGAGCCCATTGTGTAATATCCTGTCCCTTTCAGATTCTACATAGTTATCTAAAATCTGCAATTAACCAAAGTCTCAAAAGCAGTGAGCCCCTTCCTGTGATTATGCAGGCAGATGCTTCTTTTCACCCACTTTCTCCCTCTGCAAGGCATCCGTTTCCTGCCTGCCTGTGACCTATACCTGTCAAGACTTCTCACTGACCTCCCTCAAAGGAGGCCGCTCTCTTCAAGGCCACCAACCTGCGACCACGCAGGCCTCTCTCAGCCCACTGGTGTCAGTGCAAGTGTCTTTAACTGTTTTATCCCTTCCTAATAAACCTGCCCTTAAAATATTACTAGTGTAACAGGGTGGTCCCCAGGAAAGGGGGAGGTTCCAGGTTCCCTGCCCCACCTAAAAGGAGGGTGGAACTGAGCAGAGAAGAGGCTGCAGAGGAGACTGAGGAGACCAACTTTGTTCCTGAAGCCTACATGGACCGGATGCCAACGGTTCGCTCTGATCCTATATGGAGTATTCCAACAAAGCCAGCTAAAATTGTTGTTTAGTTATTCTGCCCTGTGATTTTATGCCAAAATAGGTAAAATGGCTTAAAAGTAGATTTAGTTTGCAAACTTTTGCCATGCTGTTAAAAAGTTTGGGATCAAGGTTGAGAAAATTTGTGTTTTACATAAGTTGAACCATTTTAAGATTTTTTTCCCTGTGATTTTGATATATTTGCTGTCTTGTTTTAGCTAATGCGCCAGATTTTTTTTCTTTTGGCTCGGATAATGGACTATTTTCCAGTAATGGAAAACTGTCCTACTGGACATTCATGGACAATGCTGCTGACTAATTGTTGCTTCTCTTACACACATTGTAACCCTGAAAAAAGACTGTCTCCTAAGACTCTACCCTGAGATTTGTCCACCATAGATATGGTGGAATAAAAATTAAAAGGGGGGATTGTAACAGGGTGGTTCCCAGGAAAGGGGGAGGTTCCAGGTTCCCTGCCCCACCCAAAAGGAGGGTAGAGCTAAGCAGAGAGAAGAGGCTGCAGAGGAGACTGAGGAAGGAAGGAAGCAGGATGGAGCCAGAAGGAGACCTGGAGGAGGCGCATGGAGCCTAGAGACGAGGGGAGAAACTGTGCTTGTCTTCTGGTCGTAGACTGGGTGACACAGATGTGGGTTAGACCTGTGGGGAGGTGACAATGGCAGCTTTTATCTGATTTTGAGTTTTGCTCTTTTCCCTCCGGCTTGTCTGGTTGTTTCTGACCCTTTTCTGTGGGTCCCCACTGGAAGATGCTTTAGACTATGGCAGGCTTTGGGGCCTTGTTGTGGGCCGATCCCATATGGATGGACATTTACCCACGAGGGGACGGGTCACTTTGGGTGCTTCATTTAGAAAGTAGACTCTTCGCCTTACATGTGTTGTTTCCTAGTTTTATTAAAGTTCCTTCCCATTAAAGTGTCATATGTTTTGTGTTGATGCGGCGGATAGCAGAATCCATTTAGAATAGGCAGGTTTGCGGGGTTTAGGCTGCCCCCTCCCTGTCCTGTAACACTACCATCTCTGTTTTGCGGAGAAACTCACCTGGGAAACTCGCTGCTTGTCGCTGAAATGGGAGCTCTGATGAAACCTTTCCCAGAGTGAACCCTAGGACCCCACATTCTTAAACCCACTAAACTCTAAAAAATAACACTTAAAGCAGGAGAAGCGGTTGGAAAAGGGATCAAAATAGGTGAAAAGAGTGAAAGGTCCATATGGGAGGCCGGAATGCAGAAGCCCACCTAGGGGGCGGACTGCGGAAACCTGCCTGGAGGATTCAGACAATGCGCCTCCCCAATCCCGCTAAGGGTCTCTTCTCTCACAAAGAGCCTCTACCTGCCCCACGAATCTTTTCGCGCTCTACAAACTTCTTCCCGCCATACGAGCCCTACTTCCCACCTGACCTCTCCTCACCATATAAAGGCCTGCATCCCCCTGACAACGTGCGCGCTGGCTTACTGACCCCCACCTTGGGTCCGTGAGGTCTGCCCAGGAGCAATAAACTTTCCCTTCCTCTGAGGAAGCTTGGCCTGACTGTTCTTTACTGCCTCCTACCTTTCAAAGAGCACAAGGGACAATGGTGATGACTCACAGGTGAGGTGGTGGTGGGAAATTTACGGGGACTATGACAAACAGGAGAAACCAAATATTGTACAAAAATGAAAGAAATAACTTCAAAGAGCTATTTCAGTATTTCAGAGGTATTATAGATAAGATTGCAAAGAGCAAAGATAAGTAAAATTCAAATTACCCAATATAAAGTTAACATTGTCAATATTGAAGAACCTACAATAAAATCTGTCTGGAACAATGAAAATATTAAAAATGGCAGGAAATTTTTCTGCTTTACTGTTT